CTCTGCGGAGGCCCCCCCGCCCCCCGACACGGGTGCTCTGTCCACAGGCCATCTACGTGCTGGACTTCTTCTGGAACGAGGCCTGGTACCTGAAAACCATCGACATCTGCCATGACCACTTCGGGTGGTACCTGGGCTGGGGCGACTGCGTCTGGCTGCCCTACCTCTACACGCTGCAGGTGAGCGCCCGGGCCACCAGGCCGGCACAGTGAACACGCCGAGCTGCCGTGTGTGCCCTCGGGGCGGAAGCTGGAGGGAGGGGGGTTAGTGTGGGGGCAGCTCGGGCCGGAGCCCCACAGGCACTCACTGCCCGTCCTGGAGCCCGGAGCCCGAGACCAGGTGTCGCAGGGCTGGCTCCTCCCAGGGCCTCCCTCCTGGGCGTGTGGGCGCCGCCTCCGCCCCGTGTCCCCGCGTGGTGCCTGTGCATGTCTGTGTCCTGATCCTCTCTTCTCATGCGGACCCCAATCACCCTGGATTAGGGGGACCCCCGTGACCCCATTTTACCTCAGTCTCCTGATTAAAGGCCCCAACTCCACATACAGCCACATGCTGGGGTGCTGGGGGTCAGGGCTCCAACGTAGCGATTTGGGGGCCACACTCGGCCACAGCACTTAAAGAAGATGCCCAGTGGGCCCTGGGTGAGAGGAGTGATTTGGGGGAGCTGGGCGGTGGAGGGGGTTCCATCCTCATTTACCTGAATCTTCATGCTGAAGGGCAGGGGGCGTCTCCTTTCTGTCCCGTCATCACTGCACAGGAGTCCGGGAGGCACTGGCATGCGGGGTGCAGGAGCGAAAGGGACGCCCCCTCGGGGTCACCGCGGGGGGAGAGGCAGCCGGGCAGGAGGGGTGCTGACCCTAGGAGGGCGCCCCCCACCAGCACGGGGTTGGCACGGCGGGCTGAGAGCACGTGGGCTGGGCTGAGAACATTCCAGAAAGATGGAGGAGCACGTGTCAGGGAGGGGCGTGTGGGGAGCAGAGGAGGGCCTGGAGGCACCCCGGTTCTGTGTGGCCACCAAGAGGACCTGGGGGTGTGGGGGTAGCAGGACGAGCTGCCAGGCGGGAGGCTGGGGAGTCGAACAAGCCCGGTGCCGACTGAGCAGGCGCTGATGTGGCCGCGCCCAGGAGACGGTCAGCCGCACAGCGCGACGCCCAGGGGCTCGGCTACAGCCTGGGCTGCATCTCTACCGCAGGTGACGTGTGTGTGTGTGTGTGTGTGTGT